TCTTCTCATTCATAACATCCACAATCATCTCTTTCTTATCATTCGCACAACATCCACGCACATTCAGACTTTCCACTTTGACAATTTTCTTCTTCTAATTCTTTTTAGTGATTATTACAATAAAAGGGGTTACAAGCCCATTGTTCCCAGCATTTTAGTTGACTTTTACAACACGCATGGCTTACGGAGGAAAGATTTTTATTCCACTTCCCCATGGATATAAAAGGAAAAGTAATAAGAACAAGAACTAAGATAAAATCAAAGAAAACTCAGATGAGTGTGTATAAATAAACGTGTACATGTATGTGTAGTGTGACCTAAGTGTAAGTAGAAGTAGCAAGACGTGCCTGTAATCTTGCATGTTTATGAGACAGACAAAAGACACCAGCAATCCTACCATCATGTAAAACAATTACAGGCTTTCGTTTTACACTCACTTGGCAGGACGGTAGTACCTCCCTGGGTGGTTGCTGTCTACCAACCTACTACAACAATAATATATATATATATATATTATATATATATATATATATATATTATATATAATATAATTTATATTGGAATGATTGGTGCTTTTATTTAATGAATGTATGGAAGAAGATAAGGTACGTACCTAGGGATTGGCAGAGAGCATGCATAGTTCCTTTTTATAAAGGCAATGGGGACAAAAGAGAGTGCAAAAATTATAGGGGAATAAGTCTGTTGAGTACAGATGAAAATAAATGGTATAAAATACCGACACAATGGAAATATAAACACACATGCAGTATAATGTGATCCTTTATTGACAACGTTTCGCCCACACAGCGGGCTTTACCAAGTCACAAACAGATCTAAGTGGGTGAAAGGTACATCCAGGTAGATCTTTATTGAGGAAACGTTTCGCCACACAGTGGCTTCATCAGTCCATACAAAGAAGAATGGTGAAGAACAGGAGTATGAGGTAATCATAAGAACATAAGAAAGGAGGAACATTACAGCAGGCCTATTGGCCCATACTAGGCAGGTCCTTTACAATCCATCCCACTAACAAATTTTCAATGCTACCCAGTCCCTCAGCCTTGAGTCGATGTGGTCACCTATGCTGTATTCTTTTCAAGATTGATGGACTGACCACATCGACTCAATGCTGAGGGACTGATTACCTCAAACTCCTCCTGTTCTTCACCATTCTTCTTTGTATGGACTGATGAAACCACTGTGTGGCGAAACGTTTCCTCAATAAAGATACTCAAGTATTGCATATGTGTGTAATTTATCAACTTGTCGGTTTTCTGAACCATTCATCTACATGACTTGATAAGGCCCACTGTGTGGGCGAAACGTTGTCAGTAAAGGATCACATTATACTGCATGTGTGTTTATATTTCCACTGATGAGTATACCTGGTAAAGTGTATTGTAGAGTTATTATTGAAAGAATTAAGAGTAATTTGGAAAGTAGGATAGCAGATGAAGGAGGCTTTAGGAAAGGTAGGTTTTGTGTAGACCAAGCGTTTATAGTGAAACATATAGTTGAACAGTATATAGATAAGGGTAAAGAGGTTTTTATAGCATTAATGGATTTGGAAAAGGCGTATGACAGGGTGGATAGGGGGGCAATGGGGCAGATGTTGCAAAATGTATGGAGTAGGAGGTAGGTTATTGAAAACAGTGAAGAGTTTTTATGAGGATAGTGAGGCTCAGGTTAGAGTACGTAGCAGAGGGGGAGATTATTTCCCAGTAAAAGTAGGCCTTAGACAAGGATGTGTGATGTCACCGTGGTTGTTCAACATATTTATCGATGGGGTTGTAAGAGAAGTGAATGCTCGGGAGTTGGAAAGGGTGTAGGGTTAAAAGATAAAGAATCTAATACAGAGTGGAAGTTGCCACAGTTGCTCTTTGCTGATGACACTGTGCTTTTGGGAGATTCTGACGAGAAGTTGCAGAGGTTGGTGGATTAGTTTGGTAGGGTATGTAAAAGAAGAAAATTAGAAGTGAATACAGGAAAAAGTAAGGTGATGAGGATAGCAAAAAAATTAGCTAACGAAAGATTGGGTATCAGATCAGAGGGAGAGAGTAAAGAGAAGGTGAATTTATTCAGATATTTAGGAGTGGATGTGTCAGCAGGAGTCTACCTGGAGGGCATTCCGGGGATCAATGCTCCTGCGGCCCGGTCCACGACCAGGCCTCCCGGTGGATCAGGGCCTGATCAATGAGGCTGTTACTGCTGGCTGCACGCAATCCAACGTACGAACCACAGCCCGGTTGATCCGGCACCATCTTTAGATATCTGTCCATTATTATTATAATCAAAAAGAAGCGCTAAGCCACAAGGACTATGCAGCGCTGCAGGGTAGGGAAGGAAACGAGAGTATTGGGCGGTAGAAGGGGGGAGGGATGATCAGTAGGTTACAGAAAACAGCGGGGCAGGGGATAGTGTGGGGGTAGAGGGCAGCAAGAGATTGAGGTAGAAAGGGCTGAAGGTATCATCAGAGTTTGTGAAGTAAGTCAGTTGTTGTCAAAAAGTCAATGAGAGTGTCCGGATGAAAGGTGGGTAAATCAGCGAGAATGGAAGGTAAAGAGAGAGCAGCAGAGAGAAGACGACGTTGGAGGTATATTCTGCGTGCTCGTTGATAAAGTGGGCAGTCTAATAGAATGTGGCTAACCGATAATGGAACCTGACAATTCTCACAGAGGAGCAGGGCACCTCTCCATGAGATAACCATGAGTAAGACGAGTATGGCCAATGCGAAGACGGGAGAGAGTAGTCTGCCAACCTCGACACTGGTGACAAGAAGACGGCCAGTAACCTATACCCGGTTTAATAGATTGAAGTCAGTGGAAGCCCCGGTACCTGAAGCGGGTGAGGAAACAGCACCAGCAAGAGGTACAGGGGACTTAGAAATGTCCGAAGAGTGGCCAAAAGACGAGGCGAGGTCAGAACGGGGTGTGGTAACAATAATGGGCCCAGGGGTAGCGGGGTCATGGATCGGGTACTCCATGGTAAGGTTACTTCTTTCTTTTCGTTTTTAAGAAAAAATAGAAGAAAATAAAAATAAAAAAAAGAATAAGAAAAGGGGGGACCGGGGAGGGATAGCTCCTAGGAGGAATGAAAGGGCCAGAAATCTCCCTCGTCACCCAAGAGGACCTCAGCACCGCAAGTAGCACAGATGCAGCATGGAACCCGTGCCATACCCTACCCATCATGCCAGTAAACCAGCAATCCGAGATAGCAACCTCACATCTGCCGAGCTACCTCTGTGGACAAAAGAGAGCGCGGCCGGATATCTGCCACAAAGCATACCTCATTCAGCCACCACCCCCGGAATCCGAAAGGTGGCTTCCAGAGATACACCCATCGCCCGAAAGACACCCAAAGCCACCCTCCAGGATACCAGAGAGGGATCGGGACATCCCCAGGCAATCCAGATTCCACGGCAAACTACGCCACCGCCAAGAACCTCAACGGAATGGGATGGACCCTGGTACCCTTTTCCCTACCCAGGAACTAGCATGCCTGTGGGAAAAATCCCAAAGGCCAAAAAAGGAAGAGCAAAAGGGAGGGGTGGGGAGGAGGAGGAAAGGAAAAAGGGGAGGATAGGGAGGATGGGATAGGGAAGGGGGATTGGGGGTAATTAGGTAACTGTCCATCTCCCTCTTGAAGACAGCCAGGGGTCTTCTCATAATGCCCCTTAGTGATGGTGGTAAGCTGTTGAACAGTTTTGCGGCCCTGGACACTTATAGGTCTTTCTCTATACAGTGACGCCCCTTTTACTGGGGGTATGTTGCATTGCCTGGCCAATCTTTTCTTTCGTATGGAGTCGATTGCTGTGTGCTATTAGGGGACCATCTCCAGAATTCTCCAGTTTTAGATTTGTTGATATTCTTCTATGCACCTCCGATCTAGTGTAGATTAAGTATAGTCTCTCCGCCGCGCTCTAGTGAGTTAAGTTTTGATGTCTTTACGCTCCAGTAAAGGTTCTTGTATGTCCTCGTACTGCAGTAATTCTACTGCCTCGTCTGAATATTGGGGGATGTTAATGTACAGCAGTATTCCAGCCTAGAGTAAGTGATTTAAAAAGGATCATTGGCTATGAAAGATGAGATGAATCATGGAATTGATGAGGGGAAAAAGGTGAGTGGTGCACTTAGGAGTCTGAGGAGACAAAGAACTTTGTCCATGGAAACAAAGAAGGGGATATATGAGAGTATAGTTGTACCAACGCTCTTGTATGGGTGTAAAGCATGGGTGGTGAATGTTGCAACAAGGAGAGGGCTGGAGGCAGTGGAGATGTCATGTTTGAGGACAATGTGTGGTGTGAATATTATGCAGAGAATTAGAAGCTTGGAGATTCAAAGGAGGTGCAGGGTTACTAAAAATATTATCGAGACGGCTAAGAGGGATTGTTGAGATGGTTCGAACATTTAGAGAGAAGAGAGCAAGATGACTTTGAGGGTGTACAAATCTATAGTGGAGGGAAGGTGGGTTAGGGGGTCGTCCTCGCAAAGGTTGGAGGGAGGGGGTAAAGGTGGTTTTGTGTGCGAGGAGCCAAGACATTCAGGGCATCTTAGGAATGGAGGCAAGTGGTTTTTATGACGTGCTGTTGGAGTTTCAGCAACGTAATGTGTATGAAAGAATTCAGAAAAACCAGTTAGCCGGACCTGAGTCCTGGAGGTGGGTTGTACAGTGTCTACACTCCAAAGTACGGGATGGAATATTTGCAGTTTTGGACTGTAGTATCGGCGCCCCTTTGGCAAGACAGTGATGGAGTGAGTGATAGTGAAAGTGTTTCTTCTTTTTGAGCCACCGTCCCTTGATGGGAAACGGCCGGCTTGTTAAAAAAAAAAGTTTGAGTAGTTATGAGTTACTTGCGGTGGGCAGGGTATTTTTCAGAGTGGTTGATGATATACCACTGGATAAAATGCTTTGAAATTTCTCATTATTGCAACAGTTTATTAGAGCAAGCACATCTTTGCAAATTTCCTCTTTTCTGACAGAGATTAGTTCCTAGTGCGCACTCTTTACGGGTTTGCCATGCTGGGATTGATGCATGTGTGTCAGATACCATGCTAAAGCCAATATACAAGTGAAAGACACTGTGATAACATTGTTTTCTACATCATAAAATAGCTAGCATATACCACAATTAGTGAATAGTAAGATTCATTGCTTTATCCGTCCTCAGCGCACATGTCGCTGGAACCAGAGGGCCATATGCATATACAACACTAGTCACTGAAATCGTAGTCTTAGTCTTATACACCTTCTGTCACACGCCTTTGTAAATTATTATTGTAGCCTAGCAGTCGACGTCCAGTCTCATCTTGTTAACGTGTCTGGCTGCTGCTGAGTGCTAACTGGTCCTGGTCTAGCCATCAAGTGACTGACTACCTACATACTGACGGTCCCCTCCAGCTCCAGCCAAGTGACTGGCTTAGGTCTTAATAAAACAGCCAACTCTGTCTCAAATTCATCCAGACCACAGAAAACATCGAGTCCAAGCTTCGGGTACATCTTCCAGGAGAGCTGTGCATGTCGACTGGTTAATAAGGCTTGCTTAAAAACAAGTAAAAAATCTCATTAACTTCTCATGGCACATACCTTCACGCCTTGATTAACGAAGACCTGCAGAAGCAGGCAATATTCCCCATTTCGTCTAATTAATAAACATACCATAATTATTTTTATATACAAATCCCCTCCCAGGCACTATTTAACCCCAATGGGTTTAGTGCTTCTCCATAAATATAACAATAATTTACATACAAATCAGACAATATATTAAAACGAAAGTGAATTTAATCTATAATAATGTATTCATACGATAATTTATCCTGAGCTGAAGCAAGACCTTTGAAATTTAATTAAATTTTTTTAAAACATCTCTGAGACAGTAGGTTCCTCACAATTGGCTTCGGTTGATGGACACTGTAAGTGGTGACAAGCTAATAGAACTGATGGTTGTAACTGTGGCGGTGGGTGACGTCCGGGAAATACGCTGTGACATCCAGGCCACACCAGCACCCACCTTCTCACCCACACGATGCCGGAAGCTCCGGTTAAACCACACGAACACTACAGGATCCACTATAAAGTGAGAGGAGAACAGTATCCGGAAAATAACATTCATGGTAAACGATTTTTTCCCCTGGAGGTAAAAGACTGGATATGGGAAGCCAAGGAGGAGATTACTGATGAAAACAGCTAACATGGAGCGTGTGGCCTCAACATTGCGGCTGTTGGTGTGCTGGAATACGGAGAGTCGACGATAATTACGATACATCTGCAACCAAATAAAAGTCATTAGTAACTGTGCCACCACATGAGGCAAATGTTAGTTGTTCAAGATCTTAAAAAAAGAGAGAGAGATAAGTATGTAAGGATATAGAGATAAAATCTTGTTTCCTGTTTTTCTATAATACCCGAGAGGCAGCTGACTTGACTGTTATAATAAAAAAGACGCGCTAAACCACAAGGGCTATACAACGCTCGCAGCTGACTTGAATCTTGAATTTCTCAGATGCTTACGTTTTACTGCTCTTTTTCCCCTCACGTTATAGAGTGTTTAAACTAGGAAAATGCATATAGTTAATGTCCAGGAATTATATTTTAGGGAGGAAGAGAGCGGGAGATCCAAATATACATTATAATTATGAAAACTTACTATATCTCGTCTTATATTGATTATTCATAATAGATTCCCGACCATATTAATGGTCACATTTAAAAATGTAGCGCAAACTACACATTTATTTAAAGTAACATATTTATGTGTATATCTTACATGTATATCATAGAATGATGCATGTAGCTGCATGATTCATCGGTGATTTGCGATGTAACATGCACTAGACAAACATTGGTGACGTGAGTTATCACATACACTAGACAAACACTTGCGATGTGACAAACATTGGTGACGTGAGTTATCACATACACTAGACAAACACTGGCGACGTGACAAACATTGGTGACGTGAGTTATCACATACACTAGACAAACACTGGCGACGTGACAAACATTGGTGACTGAGTTATCACATAACTAGACAAACCACTGGCGACGTGACAAACATTGGTGACGTGAGTTATCACATACACTAGAACAAACATTGGCGACGTGACAAACATTGGTGACGTGAGTTATAATAAACTAGACAAACACTGGCGACGTGACAAACATTGGATAGCTTGAGTTATCCATATACACTAGACAAACATTGGCGACAGTGACCAAACATTGGTGACGTGGAGTTATCACATACACTAGGCAAACACTGGCGACGTGACAAACATTGGTGACGTGTAGTTATCACATACCTAGACAAACACTGGTGACGTGACAAACATTGATGATGTGAGTTATCACATAAACTAGACAAACATGGCGACGTGACAAACATTGGTGACGTGAGTTGCACATACATCTAGACAAACACTGGCGACGTGACAAACATTGGTGACGTGAGTTATCACATACACTAGACAAACACTGGCGACGCGACAAACATTGGTGACGTGAGTTATCACATACACTAGGCAAACACTGGCGACGTGACAAACATTGGTGACGTGAGTTATCACATACACTAGACAAACACTGGTGACGTGACAAACATTGATGATGTGAGTTATCACATAAACTAGACAAACACTGGCGACGTGACAAACATTGGTGACGTGAGTTATCACATACACTAGACAAACACTGGCGACGTGACAAACATTGGTGACGTGAGTTATCACATACACTAGACAAACATTGGCGACGTGACAAACATTGGTGACGTGAGTTATCACATACACTAGACAAACACTGGCGACGTGACAAACATTGGTGACGTGAGTTATCACATACACTAGACAAACACTGGTGACGTGACAAACATTGGTGACGTGAGTTATCACATACACTAGACAAACACTGGTGACGTGACAAACATTGGTGACGTGAGTTATCACATACACTAGACAAACACTGGTGACGTGACAAACATTGGTGACGTGAGTTATCACATACACTAGACATAAATATTGGTCCTGTGAGTTGTCGCTTAAAATGCACTAACCATAAATAAGACATACTGAGACATATTGACTCATTTTATGAAAGAACAAGTGTACATTTTATGTTTGAGTACTTAACATAATCAAGACAGATCACATGACAGCTGTCAAATTATCATTGAAAATATATTTAACGCAAACTTGAACTTTAGATTGTTTTTCAGTGATATGCAAGTTGAAAAAAAAAAGTAATTTACCATTAGCAATTATCTCTATCAAATTTAATATCTGCGTAACTAGTGACTTTACTTCTAATGTATATTTCCCGTCTTGTTAGATGGGTTTTCATTAGCGTCAGCTTTCGTATGTTCATCCATGCATACAAATGTATCTTCAGAATATTTGGAAAAACCTGTACAAAATAGTCCAGCGGCAGACCTTGAGGATGACTTCCCTGAAGTACATTCACAAGAATTATATTGTATTAGTTCCAGTGCAAAAGTGACTGTAGCTCCTGTTCCTAGTTGTGTGGTATTTTGAAGTTCTACACCAAGTTTATAGCATTAACAGATGAAGGATCGTTTTGGGTTGTTGTTTCCCATAAGATGCAATGATGTGCCTTGTAAATAAGGCACTCTAATGCTGCCTTATTTGGAGGAGTTTATTGAGTGAAGTTATATATAGTTTTCCGCTGAGTATTCTGTTACGAAAACCTTTTATGGGAATAATCTCGTTGATACTACAGAGGAGACATGACTGTACTTGACACGGGACGTCTGTGAGGGCAGCAGAAGGTCCTCAAACAAATTAGGGTGTAGATTTTAGTGCTTTCTTATAATAATTATTACAGAAACTTTGTCTTTCTTTTATCACAACAAAATTAACATTTGCAACAATGAGGCCGTCACACAGTGCCTAGTTTTCTAACCGATGCACTTATATCAATCACTGACTTATCATACATTGTCATTTGGACATAGATATCAAAATTTTGCCTCTTCTACCAACACATAGTACAACTAAAGAAATATATTACTGTTATTTGCATTAACTTGGATTTTTCTATAATCTTGATCAATCAGAAAACTTTGCAGACGATAATGTTTACACGAGTCTCCTCATACCAAGCAAAAATTGCTTGTCTCCAATGAGAGTTATATTATTCGAGGCTCATAATAATCCAATCAAGTGTTTTTGCTTTCTGTGCACTTTATTATGCCTCCTCTATATGGTAATAATTTCGATATCTAATTTGTAATATGCAGTGCAGTACTTTTCATTCTATGTCAATTTTGAGTTTTGATTAACAGGTTGAAGTATATATCGAAAATTTAAAATAAATGATGATTCCCAGACTCTTATTACTATTTCCTCAGATTTTACCTTTGTTAAAACACCTGGAATGAAAATACCGATAAGCTGAAATTAAGAATGTAACATCATCAACATTACTGTAAACGAAGGCAACAATAAATAGAAATGAATAGCAGGTTACACTAGTTATATTTTTTAAAAGTATAAAGATCTACGGGATTTCCAATAAACTTTCCTTCGATCCATACTCATAAATCACGAGTCAGATTGAAATTATTTACATTGTATATTTATCAGAGCAAATACTGTGTTATGAATATCTTATACAAGATAATTTACTTGAGCGGTATACTGGGAGGAATAACACACACTATAAAATATTATATCTGAAAGTAATGCACTCTAAGCGGTTCAATTTACAGTAGATAAATGGAGTCAGTAAATATTTATAAAATAAAGATAAATAACAAGATAAATAACAAGATACAAAGTCCTTAGAACATACCCTGGTGACGGAATTATCCGGAGTCATACGCGTCCTAACACCAGACCAGGTCATTATATTTTATATAGATATAAGGTGCTTTCAGTTCTAAACGGTTATATATATTTGTTCCAGGTCTTTGTGTGTATTATATCACTGAATCTGGTTTGACTGATGTCTCAATCCATCAGTCACAGCGTTCGATTTGATGTTAATTATTGTTACCACACAGCATAACAGTCTCGTGGAATACACTGAACCTGTCTACAGTGAATATTTCTCCAGTTTAGTTGTATTTAAATATACTTAATAATACCACATCGTTTATGCTAGACTGTTTCACACTTATTCTAGATTTGCCAGTCTGACGAAATTAATGCAGAGACTCAATGGAAATCGTAAATGAGCATATCATGCCGCTTAAACACTGAATAAATCCAGTCTCACATCTCTGGATCCCGTAACTTCAGATAACCCGATACCACGTAGTGATGTTTTGTAGTCATTTAATACAACCATTTGTAACCCGTTGTGCCGGCTATCTTGGCCTATCTGGATAGTGCTCAGCCCCGGGTAATATCTTTTGATCTGACATCTTCCATGTCTCTGCATCTCACATATGAATATATTCCTGATTTACCTAAGCTATTAACAGCTAAAAACGTGACATGGATTTGAACGGATACAGGCAATTGGGCCTTAATAGAAGTTTATTCTATGAAAGTAAACTATTTCATATGCAGAAAGTTTCTCTCCTCTAATTCACTGAAGAACCTTAAATATTAGAGATTTCATGACATGATGTTTTTGACCCTCTCTGGTTAATGTTTGTGGGACGTCAAGGGCTCGTTGTGTGGTTTTTAGGCATCTACAGCGACCTACTAGTGGCTAACTTGTGCAACTGACTTAACTACTTATAGTCAGGCAAATAATAAACTCACAGTACCGTGACTCACAGTACCGTGACTTACAGTACCGTGACTCACAGTACCGTGACTCACAGTACCGTGACTCACAGTACCGTGACTCACAGTACCGTGACTCACAGTACCGTGACTCGAACAATACACAAATAATCCGCACTTGGGAAACTGATTTTCATGATGTTTCTGAACGCCTTGGACCATTAACTAGTTTCAATTCAATTCAGTTCAAGTTTATTCTCTATAAGGGTTACAATGTGGGGTTTACAGGTTTTGGGTATTATGTGGTTTACATGTTATAAAATACTAATTACAGAGGGGGCCACTAGGACACCTAGCATGGCTAGGCATTTCGAGCAGACTTAGATTAATTCTTAACATTAAATCCTTACAGATTATGGTATTAAGGTTAAGTGACTACATCATAATTTGTGAGTTTAGCAATGTGAATGCTTTTGTTTTGGCACAATACAAAGTGTCTATATTGGAGTATCATAGGAAACTTATGACTAGTTAGGATTTATTTTTTAAGATTAAGTTAGTATTTCTGGGTTTATAGTCAGTGGGTGATTGAGTATAATTGTGAACCACCAGGTGCTGTTATCATGTAGTTAGTTTGTCGGGGTGTATCAGGGAGATAGATGTTTTCTAAACTGTAGTTTTGAAAGCGATGATATTGTCTGCAGTTCTAGAGTTTTCAGGTAGGGTGTTCCAGATTTTAGGTCCTTTGAATACATTGAATTTTTGTAAAGGTTTAGTCGAACACGGGGAATGTCATAGAGACGTTTGTGTCTGGTGTTATGCCTGTGGGTCCTGTCACAACTATCAAGAAAGCGTTTTAGGTCAAGGTTAACATTGGAATTTAAGGTCCTGTAGATATAGATTGCACAGTAGTAAGTGTGGATGTTCTGAACAGGGAGTAAGTTAAGATCTATGAAGAGTGGAGGGGTGTTGCCAAGGATGGGATTTAGTGATTATTCTTACTGCAGCTTTTTGTTGGGTTATTATTGGCTTTAGGTGTGTTGCTGCAGTTGAACCCAAGCACAGATAGCATAGGTGAGGTATGGATATATAAGTGAATGGTATAGTGTGGGAAGGGCAGTTTGCGGCACGTAGTATCGTATCTTGGAGAGGATCCCCACCGTTTTGGATACTTTTTTTTGACATGTGTTGGATACGGGTGCTGAAATTTAGGTTGTTGTCGAGGTATAGGCCAAGGAATTTGCCCTCATTATGTCTGGCAATTAGTGTGTTGTCGATTTTAATGTTAAGTTGCGCAACACCTGCTCTGCTACCAAACATAATATAGTAGGTTTTGCCAGTGTTAAGTGTAAGTTTATTGGCTGTCATCCAATTCGATATTTTGAGCAGCTCCTCGTTAATTAACAATGGTGTTGAGGGTGGCAAGATTAGGGTGGGAGATGACATAAGTCGTGTCGTCAGCAAAGAGAATGGGTTTCAGGTGTTGGGATATGTTTGGAAGATCATTGATGTAAATGAGGAAGAGCAGGGGTTCAAGGACACTTCCCTGCGGAACTCCAGTATCAAGTGGCCGTATTGATGAGGTTGTGTCTTTAAATGGTGACATACTGATACTATTAAAAAGGGTAGGATTTAAATATGAAAGCGCATGGCCTCTTATACCATAGTGGTCAATTTTTGTGGAGTGGATGCCGTGGTCTACTGTGTCAAAAGCTTTTCTTAGGTCAATAAAAATTCCTAGCGGATATTCCTTATTTTCCAATGCTGTGTAAAGCAGGTCTATCATTTTTATAATTGCATCATTAGTGCTTTTATTTTTCCTGAATCCAAAATGGCAGGGGTTGAGTATGTTTTGTGCCGTTATAAATGAATATAACCTCCTTTGCACGAGTTTCTCGAAGATTTTGGATAGCAATGGTAAGTTTGATATTGGCCTATAGTTGTTTATATCTGTAGGGTCACCACCTTTATGTATTAGTGTAACCCTTGCTGTCTTGAGTAGTGTCGGGAAAGTGCTAGTTTCTACTGACTTGTTAAAAAGTAATGTAATAGCATATGAAAGGACATGGGCCGCTCGCTTGTACAATAATGGTGGGACGTGAGACAGATTCCCCGAGTTATTTTTAAGTGACTTTATGATCGCCTCATGACCTGAATTGAGGTTCACAAGACGTTCTGCGTTAAAATGTTGCTATATTTGTGAAAACATAAATGGCTTTCTATTTAGGAAAAAGTAATATCTCAGGAGGGATTTCAATAACAAAGATAACTTAAATAGGCCCATGATAAAACGGCAGAGAGTCCCAAATGCGAGACTTCTCATTCATCACTGAATTCACCAAACTAATCCATTCATTATTTTGTTTTCGCTATTACTCGTCCTGTTAGAACTAACATACTATGCAACCCCACTGTAAATGTTGAATATACTTATATTAACATAGACAAATTGATGATTATTCAATAAAATTTTATAATATATATATTTACCTAAACTATGTTTTAATAAATAGTAATTTCCACACGGTTACAATATGAAATAAATATAACACGTTTAACTTCTATATTTAATACTAGCAAATAAGTCAAATATATTTATGCCCGTATGAAAATATTCCTACACAGAGCATTTTGATTTTTAAAGGGGTGGAGGGAAAGCCAGTGGAAGGCTTCGGTCAGATGACCAAAAGCTCTAGTGGCTTGTCATCATATGACTAAGACCAGCGTCAGGAAACATTTGTCCTATTTCCTGATGAATCTTACCTAACCTAACCACTCGCGTAGCTTGACTGCTAGCGCACTCACACTATGGTCCCTGGGTCGATCCCCGGTACGGCTGGAAACATTAGGTCGTGTTTCCTTACGATACCTGTTGTTCAATGTTAACCCATAAGTAAAATGGGTACCTGGGTGCTAGTGGACTGGTGTGGGTCGCATCCTGGGACAAAATTTACCTAATCTGCCAGAAATGCTCTGCAAAACAAGGGGCTTTCTATAAGATAAGATAAGATTTCGTTCGGATTTTTAACCCCGGAGGGTTAGCCACCCAGGATAACCCAAGAAAGTCAGTGCGTCATCGAGGACTGTCTAACTTATTTCCATTGGGGTCCTTAATCTTGTCACCCAGGATGCCACCCACACCAGTCGACTAACACCCAGGTACCTATTTGCTGCTAGGTGAACAGGACAACAGGTGTAAGGAAACGTGTCGAATGTTTCCACCCGCCGGGAATCGAACCCGGGCCCTCCGTGTGTGAAGCGGGAGCTTTAGCCACCAGGCCACCGGGCTTAGTCAGCTTAGCCAGTATACCTTGTACATGTACTTGTAGAAATAAAGATTATTATTATTATTATTATTATTATTATTATTATTATTATTATTATTATTATTATTATTATTATTATTATTATTATACACCGAAAGGTGCATTTCTCTCATCGTATGTTTACATTAATCCCATTTGTCTGGTGGTGAAAAGGTCACATGCAGCCTTAAAGATCCTAACGTAGTCGATAGGTTTTAAACCCTATTCACCAACCAGCACCGCTGTGTTGTGTGTGTATTTACAGTGAACACATGAGAACATAATAATATTATGACCAGGACAAATATTAGCTTGAGTAGCAAGCTATGGTGACCAGGATGGGCACCATTGTGTTTAGAGTGCAGATCATGAGAGTGTAACATGCCATAATGACCAAAACAACCACTATTGTGTTTAGAGTATACTCACAGTATAAATCATGAGAGCGTAGCATGCTATGGTGACCAGGATGGGCACCATTATATTGAAGACGAACAGAGTCCGGATGCCCCACCACACATGGCGAGGTTTCAGGTACCCGAGCTCCTTAGGCACAATCAAACCCTAAATGAAGACATAATATCTATAGTGTTTTATATTAAATACGTATACTGTACACCGTACAGAAAGTTAAATTTTGGGGCTAGTGACAGTGGGGCAGTTTGTCGAGTGATTATACAGTGTCAAGGGAATCTAACATGTTGCAATATTTCTGGAGTATTTTGTGGAGAAAATTTGGCGAGTTGTGGAGTTAGCCTCATGTGTACTGTGTCAAATTAAGGCGGATGTTTATTGCTTTCGCAGCAACTACGCTAGTCTTATTGTACCAGGACAAGGTTCCTGGCCATGTGATGATAATTCATAACCAAAAATTTGAACAATTTGTTTTGAGTAAAGAGTGTTACCATGGCCAGCCATCAATTCTTTGTTATCGTGTACGTATTTCGTACTTATCAAATTATAAATTTTTGGCACCCAGTTGGTTACTCTCTTATCCTTCACTTCCGGCTTTCTCAGCCGTGACCTGGCACTCACACTGCTAGTAATTATTGATGCCTTGGCATTCTTTTAATGTTTATTTATGTTGATGATGGCATTTACAAGTTTTCCTATCCTAGCACTCACGGAATCGAACATATCACTTGTCTTCCCAATTCGTTCAATTCGTAACATAAATTTAGGATTTGCACAAAGAAAAGGTGCGATAAACTTACCAGTGTTGTGACGATGCAGTAGAGAGTGATTGACACAACAACAGCCACGGCTCTCTTCAGTCCCACACTATGTCTCAGCGGCGACCATGTTGCCATCATTCTGCTGATACGTTTATCAGTAGATTCAGTAAACGAAGTCGTGTTGAAGTAGAATGATGGATGTTATGAGAAATATATATATATACCCAGCAAATATGAATTATGAAGATAAGTGAGATATTACTAAATATCTTTTGTATATATCAATACGGATTACAGCTGTATGTGAGCATTGCAAACTCTGGATTTCGTCAGTCACAATAAAGCACTGTAGATTTTATCATACGTTTCTTCTTTCCATTTACCCTACGTTTGCTTCTGCAAAGAGTTAAAGCTTGGAGAGTAGCAGTAGTGTTTCAGGCTAGTACTACCATTTGACTCAAGGTAACTCCATCATGGCGAAGTTCCCGTGGCCGGAATGTCTGGATATAGATCCTAACTTGCCTACAGCAACTATTACTTTCACAAATTTCATCAAGGAGGGTAGAGACAATGCCCTTGATCAATTCATAACCCTAGTAAATAGTGTATCACCATTTGATTAAGAATTCCTTCATAAATTCTAATGGCTGTCTGTAAAATTCCATGTAAAACTTGCAATAAGGTTGACGTTGGGAAAACTGGAAAATGTCTTGAACTAAAATTAAAACATAAATCTAGCATTATAACTGGCAAGAGTCTAATGCTCTGTTTATTCACGTGAGAGATTTTAACTACCCAATTAATTTTCAAAAGGCCGAGAAATTTGTACAAAGCCTCTCCATGGCTGAGCGAAATGTAATAGAATCAAGCGTCATTAAAAAATAACATTGATTGCAATGTAAATGCCAGTTCAGGATTGCATAAAATAGATTCATTTATAATGAATAGTATCTGTAACAATTATAAACTAGGTTGACAAAATTGTCATTTGCCTAACATGCAACTCTTAAACTTTACAGGTGACCCGAGTTACACTTCACAACATTCCAATGTTCAGTAAGTAGAGTCATGCATGAGATTACATGCGAGGTCATATCTCAGCTTTATAAGTCTTCCATTGTCCTATTATTTTTATTGTTCCTTAATAATGTGAAAAATCACGAAATTATTTGGAATATTACTGTTTTGTACTGTGGCTATTTTGCATAATATTATGATGTTTTCTTCCAGTTTGCTCCCCATTTTTTGTACTGTCTTACCTCAAGAAGGACACTGCAGCGATTGAGATCTGTTCCATCTGAGCTAGGATTAAATATATGATACCCACTACTGGCCGGATAGAGCTGTTGAAGCTGACATCGTCACAGGTGAGGATGGCATTGAAGGTGTGTGCCACAGCTGGTCTGGTCAACAGACAGAGCACCAAGAGAGGCACGAACATACTACACATCAGCACCTTCACTGCTGGCTTAGTGTTGGTGCACGTCACCACACACCACACTGCTACACCGTTACCTGCAACATTACAAACAACTCATGTAATAAGCTAAAACGTACAAAGTATGCAAAATTTTCAGAAATTACGGTTTGTGTTTAATGGAGTTTATTTGATCTAAATTTACAGTTCAATTAAGGTAAATGTTAGGTAATAATTTGTACCCCGACCTTCCGTGATCTTATCCTAGTCAACAGATTTATTCTACTGTTATGTATACTACATTTCTCAGACAAAACAAGACCTGACAGAAACTGCATGTTATACAAGATGACGGATGTTTTATGTAACTGACACAGAAGTTCAATGTGTATTTTTATCCCTTCAAGAATCTTGTTACTGATGAGGCTTTGATACTTTTCAAAGGTTGACTGTTATTCCAACAGTATGTACCAGGCAAGAGGAAACACTTTGGTATGAAGCTGTTTGTGTTGTGTCATTGTGTAACTGATCTTATTTGGATGTAACTGTTAGGTAAGACACATATGCAACAGTTAGGTATCTTTATTTCGATACCTAACTGTTGCATATGTGTCTTACCTAACAATCTGTCGGTATTTTATACCATTTTAATGTTCATTCTGTCGGATGTAACTGTGTACACAGGAAGCATAACACTGAAAGATACTTGGAAGTTATTGAGTATTTCGAGTAATGTCGTGAGAGCAATGATGGAACAATAGCTGGCTGATTGAGCGTGAACGTGCCAAATGTGTCTGGTACAATGCATGGAACACGTCAACATAAACATATGCCCAGGTTCTACGCAGGCATTGGTACCTTTAATTTTTTTTACATCAAACTCAAAATTTGCCACCAAACCTGCCATAAATATCGTCAGACAAGAAATAATTAACAACAACAAAAAAAAAAAAAACGTCTGAACAGAACTCTCTAAAGCCCTTCTAAACCGAATTAAAATATAAACACCAGCAGTAACTAAAACTGAAGAATGAACTAATGCTGAAACTGCAGTAGGTGAAGTTTTTGTAGCGGTCAATCAAGCTGAAAACGGAATTTGGGCTCTGTTAGTCATAGCAGCAACACACACAAATCTTCATCCAAATACTCCCCATAAAAATACCCACCCAACATGAATAGCAAAGGAATAATCAATACGATACCTACATCCCCTACACGATTTGATAAAACAGTTAACATACCCACATTAGCAGACTTCTTATTGTGATAGCAAATCGCCAGAACAGGAAATCAACCCCAAAGCATCTCAACCTCAAAGAATCCAAATCAAATTAGAACTAATAATCAAAGCGCTTATAGACAAAGCAAAAGCAAAAACCGAATACATGAATTGATTATATCTCTTATCCCCATCCATGTAATCACCTTTATATTACCATAGAAGAAATAAACAATACAAACCCTAAAAATAAAGTCCTAACCCAGTCATAAATCATAGTAAGGGACACACATTGCACACGGATAACTGGTACACAAGCTCCTTAGTGATCTTCAGCTCGTGAACATGCCAGATGTGTATGGTACAGTGCATGGAACACGTCAACATATGTCCAAGTTCAACGCAGGCACTAGTACCAGTGATGCGCAGGTGTTTCATGCCAGTGACATCATGGCATTATGGTAATATGACAAAAGAAATGCGACATTGTTGACATCGATTCACTACAACGAAATGAAAGACACCGGAAGAGTGAATCCATTCTGGATCCGGCGGTTGTCCTTGATTAGACCGTCAATATGCGTTTGGCGGACAAATGTGACATGCAGATTGAATTTGTTGGCAGTGTTCGCAAGAGTTATAAGTGGTACACGGATCTCTTCTTCCATCTCGTGGACATTTCAATGCTCAGTGCATATATGATGTAGCCCGGTGGCCCGGTGGCCTGGTGGCTAAAGCTCCCGCTTCACACACGGAGGGCCCGGGTTCGATTCCCGGTGGGTGGAAACATTTCAACACGTTTCCTTACACCTGTTGTCCTGTTCACCTAGCAGCAAATAGGTACCTGGGTGTTAGTCGACTGGTGTGGGTCGCATCCTGGGGGACAAGATTAAGGACCCCAATGGAAATAAGTTAGACAGTCCTCGATGACGCACTGACTTTCTTGGGTTATCCTGGGTGGCTAACCCTCCGGGGTTAAAAATCCGAACGAAATCTTATCTTATCTTATCTTATCACATGAGGACCGGCAACAGAACATCGTATGCCTATTTTTGTCTGTCATCAGGCAAATAATTTTGAAATGCCAGGTCACAACACTTGAGGTACAGCAAAACCCCCGAAGTGATCTCCATTTTACCTGTCGTCTGAGGCATGGTCATCACTTCCTAACACTTCCTGCTACAAATAAGACATGAGCTCAGAACAGATTTGTCTGTGCACACACAACAATACGCCCACAAAAGCGCAGACACATTCGTGTTTTAGAGTTTCACAGACTGCAGCAGTTCTAGGAACATGTTCAGTACGTGTATACATAAATGTAAACATTAGAACAGAAGTAATGTGAAACACTTTTATCTGTGTTTGGTGTTGTGTAAATAAGTTGTGTAAATATACTGACGACACTCTTAGTGCAGGTATTGTGTTGTATACAACTGGTGGATATAGGTACAGTGTACATTATATGAGTTTCACAAGCCACAAAAGACTGGAAAATGTAAAATTCTAGAAACCCCCTAGAAAAATTGTAAGATAAAAAATAAATAAAATAATGCGGAGTGAGAGGCAGCTGCCGATGGTGCCGTCAGATGGTCGTCGACCCTCACCTTCACGACTATTTTATCTCCGTAAGTACTGATGGGAATTTTTGTTTTGTTTTATTTCCGCTACAAAAATTAACTCTTTTAACTTAGATTTTTTTTTTTCAATTTTTGGACATTGAGAGCAAGTTATATTTTGGGGGTCTGGACAGTGAAAAGGCTAAACTACAGTGTCACTGACATGCATAATATATAAGGCTATGGAGAAGATTATTAGAAGAGTGGTGGGCACGTAAAAATGAGTTGGTTCATAGATGACAACCAGCATTGCTTTAGAGATGGTAAATCCTGTCTGGTAAACATACCGGAGTTCTACGACAAGGTAACAAATAAGGCAGGAGAGAAGGGATGGGTAGATAGTATCTTAAGTTGTAGGGAATCTTTTGACTAAGAACCACTAGAGGAACAGACAGAATAACAGGGAAAAGACTATAATAGATCGAAGCATAATTAGAAGGAAGGAAACAATGAGCGATTATCCGTGCACTGAAATGGGTGAATATGATAAGTGGGGTTCCACAAGGATTACTACAAGGGAAGGGTAAAACGAGTCAGAGGTATCCCTGTTTGCAAACGAGGTGAAATTAATGAGAATATAAGCAGGCGGAGACCAGGAAAAGCTACCAATGGATCTGGACAGACTGCAGGTCTGGTCTGACAAGTAGCTACTGGAGTTTAACCCCAGCAAGTCCAAAATTATGAAGTTTGGGAAAAGAAGACTGCACATGGAGTATAGGCTCAAGGAGCAAAGGTTGCAAATCTCCCTCAAGGAGGACCTTGGGGTGAGTATTGTGCCGATCATATCACATGAGGTGTACATCAACTAAATTACTACAGAAAATAAACTTCTGGCAAATTTAAAACTAGCTTTTAGAAATCTAATTAATGTTTCATATATGACATTGTATACTGTGCTCATCAGACAGCATACTGGAGTATGCAGCACCAGTATGGAACCCACACCTGGTTGAGCATGTGAAGAAATTGGAGAGTGCATAGGCTTGCAACAAGATTAGTTCCGGGGCTAAGGGATATGTCCTGTTCCGAAAGGTTAAGGGAACTCAACCTGATGACACTTGACTAGAGGAAAGAGGCCCAGGGGTGATGATGAGTACGTACAAAATACTAGAGGAATTAATGACGTGGATAGAGACAGATTGAGAGACAGGAAATAGGAACCCGAAGGGACAGCTGGAAATTGAAAACATATCTGAGTCACAGAGATGTTAGGAAGTATTTTTTCAGCCTTCAAGTAGTTAGGAAGTGGAATTACCTGGAGAATGAAGTGGTAGAGGCAGAATCCATGCATAGCTTTAAGAAGAGGTATGTGATATGGCTCAAAAAGCCAGGAATGAATGGGTGAACCTAGTAGCGACCAGTGAAGAAACAGGGCCATGAGCTGAGACTCGACCCCTGCATCCGCATATAGATGAGTACACACACAATTACGAACACAGTTAAGAATGGCCTGTGACCTAGTCGTAATGGGTTTGGAGCAAAACAAACTCAGCTGATAGACTTTAACTTGCATTTCCTTCACCAGATATATACAAATATTTACACTTAAGTACACTATGTACAAAGATTGGAATAGTAAGTGTTCCACACAGTGACAGAATGGCAAAAAACAGAAGACACATATGCAACAGTTAGGTATCTTTATTACGAAACGTTTCGCCTACACAATAGGCTTCTTCAGTCGAGTACAGAAAAGTTGATAGAAGCAGAAGAGACTTGAAGACGATGTAATCAGTCCATCACCCTTAAAGTTTTGAGGTGGTCAGTCCCTCAGTCTGGAGAAGAGCATTGTTCCGAAGTCTGAAACAATATTGTTTCAGACTTCGGAACAATGCTCTTCTCCAGACTGAGGGACTGACCACCTCAAAACTTTAAGGGTGATGGACTGATTACATCGTCTTCAAGTCTCTTCTGCTTCTATCAACTTTTCTGTACTCGACTGAAGAAGCCTATTGTGTAGGCGAAACGTTTCGTAATAAAGATACCTAACTGTTGCATATGTGTCTTACCTAACAACCTGTCGGTATTTTATACCATTTTAATGTTCAAAAAACAGAAGCCAGAGAGAGAGCACCATACTCAACCAGCAGGTAGGCAAGTCGGGCAAATGCTGACCGCAAGTGAACCTCATTGCCACAGCACTTGGCGGGCTCGCCTGTGATTGGACAATGAACCAAGGTACTGATTTAATGACGGGTACTCTTAAAAATTATTAAACCCTAGCACCTGGTTCGCTGGCTTGAAGGAAGCCTATA